GCTTTTCTTTGGGGAGGGGGGGAGGGCTGCTCTCATCCTTGCTCCCCTAACTCTCTGAAACCCCCCTCCTCTCTTGCTTTGAGTCATGGTACTGACTGTTTCAGTTCTTTTTGTTCTCTTCTAATGCAGGTCCTTATAGGGCTGTACGCCATATCGATGATCGGATCTTGGTTTTCATTCTTGACGCTCGTATATATTGGTAAGTCTCACTGTAAAAAAAAAAAGAAAAAAAAAAAAAAAAAAAAAAGGTAAGTCTCACTGTTATGAGGCTTTTTTGGTCTTTTTTTTTTTTCTTCGTGATGGTCTTGTTCCGGTGATTGCTGATCTGCTCATCTTTACAGGATCTCACTCGTTGCCATGATTACCTACACAGGTTCCTGTCTATTCGATGCTTCTCCTCTTTCTCACTGTCTCCCTCGGTCTGTCTGTCTCTATGTTTGTCCCTGTTGCGGCCTCTGTCGCTGTGTGTCAGGTGTTGGTGTGTTTGTCCATGCGTCTTTCTCACGCTCCCTCTTTCTTTCTCTCTCTTTCTGCTCACTTCGCCTGTATGTGTGTAGGTTCTTGACTATCCCATGCTTTCACCACCCTGTAACCCATGCCCCCTGTTTGTGCGTAGGTTCGTGTCTTTCACATGCTCTCTCTTCTCTCTCTCTCTCTCTCTCTCTCTCTCTCTCTCTCTCTCTCTCTCTCTCTCTCTCTCTCTCTCTCTCTCTCTGTGTGTGTCTGTGTGCGTGCGTGTGTGTGTGTGTGTGTGCGTGCGTGTGTGTGTGTGTGTGTGTGTGCAGTGTCTCACCCTCCTGAGCGCATGTCAGTCACATCTGCTTCTCTGTCAGTCCCTCTTCAGCACTCAAATTCGGCGGCCCTTTCAGCATAAAAGAACATGATTATTGGGAAAAAAGTTCAACAAACGTTTCCGTTATGTACTGAAAATGGGTTACAGTGGCGTAATTGCAAATTCGGACACTTGAATGAGCCTTTCACTCAGATGTCCACTAGAAGCTTGTCCTGGCCTTTATCGAAATTGCAACCAAGTTTTTTTGGGTACGGCTGAAGTGGATGGAACGATTTGCGCACTGCACTTCTTTTGCCGTGGCAAAAAGAACCCCCCGGTCTGCTCTGCATTCTCAGGTGAATATTTCTCCAACTTTTCAGATGAATATTCTCCAACTTTGCAGGCAACGTTCGGCTGATCGTGATCATTTGAAACTGTGCTTATACATTCTAGATAAGCTTCATGTCTGAAGTTAGCCCATGCTGCTTTCTCGCACTGAGGGGGAGGCGCAACAATGTTATTATGTTTATGCTTGAAGAGCATGAACCTGGTCATGTACATGGCCAGTTTCGTGCTCCCGAAGCATGAGCATGGCACCTGTTGGGCCGCGCGCTGACATTTGAGTGCAGCATGGATGTTGTGGTGACGATGAAAGTCTGTTTTGTGTTTTCTCATGTTCGTTTTGAAAAGCGGGACAGCCCTTACCCTTTTTTTTTTTTTTTTCTTAATTCTTTTTTTTTTTAAAACAGGTCCTTATGCCCTTTAACGTTTTGTTACTGAATCCGTCGCGATTTTCAACGTCGGTCCTGTTTGTGCTGTTGTTGTATCTCCTCTGGTGCGAGCGGCTTCTTTTCGTTGATGCTCCGGTTGACTTCGTCCGTCCGTCCACCTGACTTTGACTGCATCGGGATGTGACTCTGGACCTGTTTGTATGTCTGCATGTGTTGTCGTCACCAGTGGCAGTCCTGTTGTTCTCTGTCCCGAAGGCCTACGAGCTGTACGAGAGCGATGTCGACCGGGTCGCTCTGATCGCCATGGAACAGACGAAGAAGTATTATGAAATGGCTGACAAGGCGGTGTTGAGTAAGATGCCCAAGGCACCCATCAGAGAAAAGAAGTCACAATGAAACGGTGGGCATGAGAGCTAATGGCACAGAGAGAGAGAGTTACCTGTTGGGTGATGATGGAGGGAGGGATGGGGAGATGAACGAGTGTGATGGAAAGGCACAGAGCAGCGCTTTGGATGGGTGGTTACTGTCAGTGGAGGAGGAGGAGGAGGGTGCTGGTGAAAGAAGACGGCGCCCTACCGTCGTCTACATCGACGCGGTTGTCATCCGTCCATCGGCCAGTCAGTCGACTTGTTGGGGTGATGAATAAGCATGACGGAAAGGCACAGAGGACTGAGAGGAGTGCTTTGGATGGGTGATTACTGTCGGTGGTGGTGGAGGAGGAGGAGGAGGAGGGTGCCGGTGAGCGAAGACGGCGCCCTGCCCTCGTTTACGTAGACGCGGTCACCATCCGTCAATCGGCCAGTCGCTCAACTCGTTGGATGATCGCTGTTGAGCAATATAGGGTGGACGGTGGGCCATCTGGTCGCACAAAGTGGCTAGCTTGCTACTGGGCACCGGTAGTTGGGATTTCTTGAAGGTCAAGAGTTCAAATCCTGACAACTGGATGGCTGGACACAGTCAGTTCTAGGTAAGGATGGAATCGTAAAGTACACACAGCAGGGCGGCAGGGCGGCGAGGGGTGGGGCTGCCGGTGGGGACTTGGAGGCATGTTGCCTTCTCCTCCCATTTCTAACCCCTTTACCTCAGCGCTCACCCCAATTTGTCCACTACGTCCCAAAGTGCTGCTTCCCAATTTGTCCACTACGTCCCCAATTTGTCCACAACGGGTTGTAACCCCTTTCTGTTGCTTTCGTGCTTTTTCGGGCGCCTGCCCAAAGTGCTGCTTCCCTCTCGGCTTTCTCCAGCCATGCTCTCTGCATTGCTTTGTTTGCCTTGAGGATGCACCTATCCCTGCTTCTCGATCTGATGCACCTATCCTCTCCTCTTTCTCCGCCATTCTCCCACCCTCTCTCGTCCAATTCCCCTTCTCCCCCTGAAGGCTTGAACCTTTAACCCCAACCCCACCAACCCTCTCTCTGAGAAAACCTCGCGCCTGAAACCCCGCCTGAAGCCCTCCCAAGCTGACCTTTCCTGCCCCCCTAGCCCCAGCTGCCCCACAACAGGAAAAGACCCTCCTTAACCCTGCCTCGAAGCCCCTCAAGCTGACCTTTTCCGACCCCTAGGCCCATCAGCTGATTCAGCTCCACTCCAGGAAAATCCCTGCATTAACACCCATTGCAACCCCACCCCTCCCAAGGCCGCTTAACACCACCCGTTCACCCGTGTTGTACCCCCGAACAGCTGCCCAAACTGCTAGTGCCACCTCCAAAAAACTTCCATCCGCATCAGGGCCCCATTGAACCCCTCCCAAACCCCCGTCAGGACACCTCGACTCCCTCTTGATCCCAGCACCTCCCAAAAGCCCTTTGCCAGCCCCTTTCTGACCGCTTTGCCTCCCTTTTGCGACAGTGGCTCGCTGGGTGGTTAGCCCAACCCTTGAAAAACTTTCCTTCGGAACTCCATCTTCAACCCCTCCAAAGTCTTGTGCCCTTTGGAGCCCTTTCACCCCCCCCCCCCCCCCCC